CCCCCCCCTCGATACATTCTGTGGTTCTTATGTAATAATTACTTTGTTTGCCAAAAAGGTCATTTTCTCCAAAATGTGGCACTGAATCAGACAGCCACTCAGTCTTCACAATATGGCGACATGGTTGCTGCCAGGGCAGTTGATGGGAACAGAGACAGTATATCTGTTGATTTCTGTGCCCGCACCAATATGGAGTCCGATCCCTGGTGGAGGGTAGACCTGCAGAATACGTACAAAATTTCTGCTGTAATAATAACCAACAGAAATAGGTTCGAAAACAGGCTGGATGGTGCTGAAATCTGGATCGGAAGCTCCACTGAGACCAATGATGACAAAAAAATCAGGTGAAACCATTTGACACAGACCTGTATATACCTGTATACACCTCCTATTGTGATATAACCATTTGTTCTTCTCACTCACTCTTTTCTTCTCCACTCCCTTTCTCACATGCAGGTGTGCGGTCATCTCTCACATTCCAAGCGGAGGTACATTTTACTTTCCGTGCAGGGCTGCAGAGGGACGCTACGTCACTGTGCTTCTCCGAGGAAGCAATAAGGTTCTAACTTTCTGCGAAGTTGAGGTGTACTATGGTAATGGTGGGTGTCATTTGTTGTAGATACGTCTAGTAGTTCAAAAGTTCTTCTTCAAGGATTCAACAAAGAAAAAACAGCTGATAATGAACACCAGACCTATTATAGTGCAGAGCAAATCATAGAAGTGTGTAGTAATGTACAGCAGTGGTTTGGGCCAGCTATCTGTCCAGCTTTGAGTGTCTTGAATTATTGTGGATTACCCACACCACCTTCAATACAGCAACAATGTGCAACTTTTATGCACTTGATGCATTGTTGTAATGATGAAATGACGGACGAACCACAAGAAATGTTGTCTATTTTTGTCTCAAGGATATCCTTTAGCAAATGTGGCACTGAAAGGAGATGCGGCCCAGTCTTCAACGCTCTCTTTCGCTACGGCCTCTAAAGCCATCGACGGGAGACGGAACTCATTCTTCTGCCGTGGGTCCTGTAGCCACACTGCCGAGAACGAGACCAACCCCTGGTGGAGGGTGGACCTGCGAGGAATATATATGGTTATGTCTGTCAAAGTGACCAATAGAGGAGACTGCTGTGCTGAGAGACTGGATGGAGCTGAGATCCGAATTGGGAACTCACAGGAGAACAACGGAAATAACAACCCCAGGTACTGAGAAAAAGAAGACACCTGGTCACAATCAACTGTCGTCACAGTCTAAGTTGTCATACTAGCCTGGCATCACGCATAATTATCCTCGCATTTTTGTAATGATGCCGTAGAAGCTTGTTAGCAATTTTGTAATAATAATAATAATTGAAAGCCATGTGTGAAAAAATAGTTTATATCAAGTGACAGAGGGTTAAAAAATGTGGACTCATTTTAAGGTCTCAGGACTTCATGTTGTTCTCTTTAAATGAGAAGCCCACATAATAACCATTCCACCCCACTCCCTCCACTGTCAGGTGTGCTTCCATCTCCCAAATCAGAGCGGGTAAAACCTACACGTACCAATGTGATGGGGTGGATGGAGGCAGCATGCTGGGTCGCTTTGTGAACATAATTATCCCTGGAGAGAGGAAGACTCTCACCCTGTGTGAAGTGGAGGTGTATGCAACCCCAGCAGGTATTATTGTAACCGATTGGCTTTGATTAATTGAAACACAACACTCTTATATTGATTAATTCCTATTTTTAATTTTTTTTTTACTTTAGTGGAACCTCTACCAAATGTGGCCTTGTGGAAACAAGCAGAACAGTCGTCAACTGAATTGAATGGGTTGGCCTCTTATGCTGTCAGTGGGTGTAGAAGTGGATCACTGTATGGATGCTGTACCCATACTTCTGTGCAATCCAATCCCTGGTGGAGAGTAGACTTGTTAGCTGTGCACAAGGTTAGTGTTGTCTCAATCATCAACAGGCAAGACTGTTGTTCTGAAAGGCTTCTCGGGGCACAGATCCTGATTGGGAACTCTCCGGAGATCAATGACAAAAACCTCAGGTGAGGCATAACACCTACAACTGGAATATGTGTCAGCACATAATCTCAAAATATGTTTCTTCCAATTGAGCTACAGTGCAGCAACATAGCAAAACTGACTGTTTCTCTCCCTCCATCAGATGCGGTACTATCTCATCGGTACAGAGTACGCCAACGCACACCTTCCAGTGTGGAGACATGGAAGGTCGCTATGTCATTGTGGTCATTCCAGGAGAAGAGAAGATTTTGACACTGTGTGAAGTGGAGGTCTATGCTTCTTTGGCAGGTATGGTCCTTGACTAGTATGTCCAGTACATAGAAATCAACCAAAAAACAGAGAATTACCAACAAATACTGTATTATGTCTGAAGTGGTTCTAGTACTGTATTGTATATATTGCTGGCTTGAAACTAACAGTTTTATATGCATGTGTTATTGTTGTTGCTACAACTTCTAAAGTAGATTTTTACTACTGCTTTTACTTTTCTCTCTTATTTAAAGTTTATTACGTCAGACAAAATGATAATATAACAGCTTATTAATATGTGGGTAAATCCAAGTTGACTCCTTGGTCAGGTGCTGACTTTCTGGCTTTAAGTTTCAAGATAAGCTTGTTTTAAAAAAAAAAAAAA